GGGAGGAGCGCTTGGGCTCGGCAGCGTGCGCGGGAGACAGACGTGAACCCGGCTTTTCCTTGATCGGGCTGGGGCCGAGGTGGTCTTTGCGAGTTAAAAAAAGCAAATGTCGTTTTGTTTGTGTTTAGTCGGAGGTGTTTCCTCTTTAATCTCGATGTTTTTGCGGCTTGCAAGAAAGGATAAAAAATTTTTCCAGTTGGTTTGTTCTCTTGGTATTTGTTAAATGAAAAGTGTCTCATAAGCGAAACTAGAATATTTTTAAGGCAAGAGTTTCAGTGTTTCTGTGATACGTAGGAGTTTCAAGGTGGCACCTGAGCAGTGTCTGAGTAACAAAACTAATACTTATTTTGGTGTGGATTTTTCTGTCTGCAGCTACCATGGAGCGTAGTGAAAGCAGTGCTAAGGATGCGAAGAGCAACTCTGATGAAGGTGATAGCAGAGACATAGTTCAACAGAAAAGTCAAGAGGAAGTTCTCTTTCATGAGGAAACCATTGATCTTGGTGGAGATGAATTTGAGTCTGAAGGGAATGAAACTGTATCAGAGGATTCAAATAATTTTGTAGATAAACTTAATGAGCAAATGATGGAGAGTGTCATTATTTCCGATTCTCCAAACAACAGTGAAGACGACACAGGCGAACTTGGTTGTCTCCAGGAGATTGTTGAACAAATGGAAGCTAAAGATAGTCAAAAAAAACAAGAGGCAGAAGTGGATAAAGAGGAATTTTTAAGTAATGAGAGTGAAACTGAACACGAGGAAACACCCAAAGACATTTCTGAGATTGGAACAGATGATCAGGTATCTTTAAAGGAAGAATCAATTCAGGAAGCAGTGAAGGAGGAATCAAAATTGGGAAACAACATTCCTGTTGAAACAAAACCAAATAATACTGATGAAAGCAAATCTGACAGCCAGATATTGTCACCCAATAATAGCAAACCATCTTCTGAGGCTGAGCCTATTCCTGTGTGTACCATCTTCAGCCAAGCAAACAATGTTAATCCCCAGCCACAGTTATTCCTGCCTGACGGTTTTGAGCCTCAAATGGTAAAATCTCCCAGTTTTAGTAGTATAATTGAGACTCCAGTGAAGTCTAATCCACAGGTGGTTCAGCCAAGTCCTAGTCTAAGCAAGTTCTTTGGCGATACCGTTAACACTAATACTTTAGCTTCTGATTTTTTTGATTCATTTACCACATCCAATTTTATTTCTGTTAGTAATCCCAATGCAAACTCTTCAGTTCCAGAACAAATGTCCTCTCTTTCTAATGGTGGAGACAGTTCTTGTGCTTCCTCTAACCTCGCTTTGTCTGTGCAAAATGAGAGACCTGAAGCAGGTGGTCCTCCATCATCCCTAGAAATCGCTCAGTCTCCCAAGCCGTTCTCACAAATCCAAGCTGTTTTTGCTGGGAGCAGTGACCCATTTGCCACAGCCTTAAATATGAGTGAACTAGACAGAAGAAATGATGCTTGGCTTCCTAGTGAGGAAACCAGAAATGTGCTAATTTCAGTTGCCACACAACAGTACAGCACCGTGTTCATAGGTAAAGAGAATCTCACCATGCCTGGATTAAAATTTGATAATATCCAGGTAAGATTATGTTATTGTGTCTTAGTGTGTGATTGTATTTTAGAAATACTGTCTAAGAGCTATCCAGTAATATGTGTATCATAGTGTTCATGTTATTGCTGATGGTCACCTTGTGTGTATTACTTCAGTCCTTACTAGAAAATTTAATGTTGCTGCCTGCTCGTACATGAAGAGGCTAGAACCAGATGTGATTTATTCATAGTGAAATTTGATGGATGTGTTGAAAATCAGTGTTGACAGTTTCCGTAGAATCTAAAGCTGGTTGTCTTATAAAGTAGTTTGTTTCTGGTCCTCTTAGTTAATAAGATAGTGCTCGCGTTTGGAATATGTACTTGGCAATACTAAATCGGTATGCTGTACCACAGAGCCTGAAAGCAGACAGCTTTTTTTGCTTGTGGAATTTGATATTGCAATAAAGTGGGAAGTAACATAGTTCACAGTGCTCTCAGTAATGTTAACACAGACTGAAATCGCGTCATCTGTAAACTGTAAGAAAGACTGACTGCTGGAGAAAGCTACTGGGAAGGGAGAACCCCGAAATTAAAGGCAAAGCTCTAGATAAGATCACAAAAGAAGAAACTCTATTGGAATTCCCAACTGGTGATAAGGCATAAAGCATTATTTTCAGAAATTTCAGTTGCATCTATTCAGTATTTTTCATGAAGCAATTTTATACTGGCTGCTAAGCCAAGGCTACATATCGTAATGGATGATTTATCTTTTTTTTTTAAATAGGCTAATCCTTTCATATCTGTGTCTCTGGATAATAGAATTGTCTGGAGAGATGGTGTTGAAGGTTTAGATACTTTAATCCTTAATTGTAGTCAATATTCAGTAGGAGTAGAAAGTGATCTGCAGTAACTTCCCAATGTGCAGGAACTACCAGAAAAGTTTCCGAGTGAATCAGGTCCAGATTTGTACCTGAATTATCTGACAAATCTTAAGTTTCTATGACAAGCAGTGAATGATAACCACGTTTAGACATATGCCATGCTACTTCTGCTTCTAGAGTTAGCTTTAGCTTAAAACATTCTTTTGTCATCAAAGAGTTCAATAATTAGCAGAAAGAAAATGGTATAATACAAAGCTGCTCCTTCAAAAAAAAATAGTCATAGAATCTTTTGGGTTGGAAGGGACACTTAAAGGCCATCTCATCCAACCACCCTGCAGTGAGCAGGGACATCTTCAGCTAGATCAGATTGCTCAGAGCCCTGTCCAACCGGACCTCGAATGCTTCCAGGAACAGGATTTCTACCACCTCTCTGGGCAGCCTGTTCCAGTCTTTCACCACCTTCATTGTAAAAATTTTCTTCCTTAAATCTAGGCTAAATCTACCCTCTTTTAGTTTTAAACCATTACCTCTTCTCCTACCACAACAGGCCCTGCTAGAAAGATTGTCCCCCTATTCCTTACAGGCCCCCTTGGAGTATCGAAAAGCTGCAATAAGGTCTCCCTGGAGCTTTCTCTTCTCCAGGCTGAATAGCCCCAGTTCTCTCAGCCTGTCGTTGCAGGAGAGCTGCTCCAGACCTCTGATCATTTTTGGGGTCCTCCTCTGGGTCCACTCCAACAGGTCCATACCTTCCCTCTGCTGATGACTCCAGCGCTGGACACAGTACTGCAGGTGGAGTCCCCCATGAGCAGAGCAGAGAGGCTACATCTCGTACACCTTAATGAGTACATCAGGAGTGTGTAATGTTTCTTTCCTGGCAGCTAATGGGGTGCACAGAAGGAATGATCCTTTCCACAGGCCCCAAGGATGAGGGCTTCCTTATTGCAGGCCTTGTTTTTCACAATACTTCCCTCTCTCCTTCCTCAAAGATTAAAGGCTTCTGTGTGCTGATGATTCCCTGAATCTGGGCACATGCATATATGCAGATTTACTGTTTTGCACGCAGTGGAAAAGAAGATGTTATGGCAATGTTTGTGTGAGGTATTTCTACAGTAACACCTCATGTGAAATGATCAGTGGAATTAAAGCACCTTCCTGCTGCTTTCTACATTGATTCTAATTTATAAGCAATCACAGAGGCATGTCAGTGGGGTCAAGGTTATAAGTGCTTTTTGTTATTGCAACTTTCCTCACTTATGGTTACTTCCACTGGCCTGAATGCATGCTGTGACTATCCTGACATTCCCTAGTTTGGTATTATTGTTTAATATGCTTTTAGTACTGCAAATTGTGTATTTAACTGAAACTATAGTTGTAGAGTGCTTGAAATATCACCTGAAATGTTGTGGGAGGCATGTTTTAAGTGTTAAATCAGCTTCCAACAATGGTCATTAAAGCTTTGGTATGAATAGTTCGCTAACTCTAAATGGTAATGCGAGATTTTAAACCAGGCTGTGGGGCAGTTGACAAGGAAGTTAGTTGACAAGTGCATTTGCAGTGAACTTAAAAGCCTGCTTCAGGCTGAAATTTTGTATGCCATGTATTGAAGAGCTGGGTACTTTTTCTTTCCTGCTCACGCAGAAAGTGTTTGTTCTTATTACAAGTGTGTTGTCTTAAATGTTAAACACACCAAGAAAAGTAATAAATATTCTTGATTTCAGCTGTGTGCTGCTTTTTGCTGATGATTCAAGAAACAGTGTATTTTTCTAAACTATCTTGAATTGCGTATGGTACAGATTATCTGTACCTGTGCTCTCTGGGTGTGGAACCAAGTTGGAATTCAGCTTTTTATGCTTTTTCCATTATGCTTTTCTTCATCAGTTACTATCTGCTGTCATTACACCCTTTGTTTCATTACATTAATTTGTAATGTTTCCTTCTCCAAAGTACTATTGGGGGGATAAAAAAATTCATTTGTATTTATGTCATTTTGCACACACTGTCTTTTCTTAATCCTTCAGACTCTTCTGTCCGAAAGATGGAAATCTTGTTTATTCATAGGATAAGTGACAGCATTAGAGGTAAAAATTTTCCATGTAGTGAAACAGTAGTTGCAGTCTCATTTCTTGAGAAACTAGACAGAAAACACAAACATATTTCCCATCACTGTCCATGGGGAAAATGCAAACATATAATATCAGTTATCTTTATTGTAGCTAAGCTTTACTGTATTTTATGCAACTCACCCTTGTAGGCAAAATGCTTTGTTGCTTGCTTCCTGCTTGCTGTGCTGGCGCTTCCTACCTTAGTTCTTCAAGTGAATATTTTCATGTTCCTTTAGAGAGATTTTTGCAAATATTCCTGTGTGTGCTTACATTTTTGCATAGTTGCTTTCTGCTTTACCATCTTAAATATTGCATGCTGATCTGAAAAGATACAGAGGAATTCTTGCAGAGAAGAGGGATGGTGAGGAGTGCAGAAGTTCTCTCTTGTGAGTAGTAGCTAAAAGGAAGAGGACCTTTTGGCTTACAAAAGCAGTAAAGATTTAAAATTCCTGAAAGAATTAAGGTAAAGAGAGGATTGTGATTTACTGTTTTTTATGGCAAAGGGACTGTTGAGTAGTAAGCATAACAAAAGGAATTGCTATTCTGCAGCCTGTGTATTTGTTTTTAAATTGTAAAATTCATTGCCCTTGGATGTACTTTTGTTCAGAAAAAATGACTGAAAAGTGAACAAGACAAGTGTTGTGGGAGGTGTGGCTATCAGTGGGTGTTTAAAAATGGTAGGCAAATAGGTCCTCTGGCACAGGTGGACCATGAAGTTCTGTCTGCTTTGAGTTGTGGGAGACCAGTATAACTTTAAGCAGTTTCTTAAGGTGTTTCCACGAACATCTGCTGTTCACTGACAGGGTGGTGAAACAGACAGATCTTTACTCTGGCTGACTGGAGGTTATAAATTGTTTTCTGTTTGAAAACAAAAATATAAGTATATTGTTAACATATTGCTGATGACTTTCCTTGTTTTCGGATGCTTGCATTTCTAGGTTACAAACACCTAAAACCATGGGCAAAAATCTTACAAAAGTAATTTCTGTTACCTGCCTTTGGCACGTGGAGACTTCTGACACCATTGGGGATTCTCTTGTATACAGTAACATGTACAGTCCCAGCAAGACGAGGATCCCCCCACACCCTGTCCTACGCTCTGTGCTGGCAAACGTCGTAGCAGCACGATTTTCAACATCTGCCAGACCATGATCCACGGCTCTTCAGTAGCTGCTTGCTGTTAAGCTTCAATTTCTTGACTACCTGTTGCAAATGTCTAGTACACAGAACCACAAGAATGTCAGCCAGCAGATGGGAAGGCACAGAAATTGATAGTTTGAACAGTTGTTGGAAGGGAAAATTGAGGAGCAGAGGGTGCCGTGTACAGTTACTCAGTTCATTGCTAGCAAAACCGGAGATAGAATCCAGGTTTGGACTCTCTTCCTCTTAGCTGCTCCATGCTGTAAAATGTAGAATTAATCTCGTCTAACTTTAGAACTCTGTTTCAGATGTCTGTCTCAACTAGTCTCAAGTCTTTGAATTGTTGAGCTCAAATAACCCAATTTCTCTGAATGATTCTTGCAGTTAGTTCTTTTGAAATTAAGGATGCTTTGTTAAAGGTTTGCTGTTTACTTTGGTTTATGATCTCTCAAAGTTTATCTTCTGCAGATACTCAAGGCTAGCTGATCGTGTGCACGTTTATCATCAGATGAGTAGATTATACCTTTTGGCATTAATATCCACTAAGAAAACCTGTAAAAGTTAATGTGTTTTGTGAGATCTTTGAGGAGTATTTTCTAAGATCTTTAAAGGGTAATAGAGAAGCAAATAAGTCTGAATATTTATATTCTAACTGCAATGTAAACATTGAAAGAAAAATATAGCAAATAATGTGGAGTAAATCTAGATATTTTTGTTAAAATGCTATAAAGATATTGACACTTATATTCATTTCACAAAAAAATAGTACTAGAAAAATAAGCATGTTTCAAGGGGAAAGAGCTGTTGCTCAGGTTGAGTTTGACATTCTATTTTGCTAAAATAATGTTTAAAAGTGTCTTGTTATGTTTCTTCTTTTTCTTTTCCATGAACACCAAGGGAGATGCAGTAAAAGACTTAATGCTTCGCTTCTTGGGGGAGCAGGCTGCAGTGAAGAGACAAGTTTTAAACACCAACTCTGTAGAACAGTCATTTGTAGGCTTGAAACAGCTAATTGTAAGTAACAATCTTAGTAATGCAATATTATTAAATACTCTGCTTCCCTCAAGGTAATTGGGAGCTACAAGTACAGTAGTTTTGAGTGGGAATAACACCAGAGTTTAAAAATTTGTTCTAAACTACGTAGTAATCTTTTTTTTAATATATGCAAAAGTTAGAAAAAAGGTAATACTAAGCTGCTGTGAATTTCATCAGCTGTTAGCTTTTATGTAATGTAAAAGGTTGCAAAACAAATTTTAATCACTTTTTTTTTATCTGCATTCATATTCATGTATTTACCTTAGTGTTTTACAGAAGGTAAGATATGCCAGTTGTAAATAGTAAGCTGATGTGATAATTTCAGCTGCTTTACTTTTTTATTTCAGTGCAGGAAAAGTGAAGTAAATTACTTTCAAATAAAAGCTTAATTTTCTATAAGTTAAAATACTTTCCTTAGTGTAAATATTTTGGTCCTGGAAATAGTTGTATCTAGCAGCCTTGTGAACCTGGCCTTGTTCTTTCAACCATTGTTTTCCTATATGAAACTCATTACTATTGCATGACTGAGTCTTACTTAGTCTGTTGAAATGTCAAAATATTTTAGGCTTCTTTTTTTTTTTTTTTTTTAAATGGTTGAAAAATTACTGAGGAAAAGCAGTGCCGAATTACATCACTTAGGATAATCTGTATTTAGTATTTAATATGTTTTCATTTAATTGTGTTACATTACATATAAAGCTCCAAAAGAGTTTTCAGTTTCTTCAGGGCTTTATTAATTGACTGTAGGAACATGCATTTACCTCTAGAACAAATAAATGTAAGCCGGAACTTGGCTTCACAGCGTTGCTTTGTTTTACAGCAGCAAATAAGAATTGTAAGGTGCAAGCTGCCATTATCTTACTTCCTGTTATTCCATATTTTAGATTAATTGTTTACCCCCATTTGCAAAAAAAGCACAGTATTTCTTACTAGACACCTTTTGGATATTTTCAGTGAAGGTGTTTGCAGCATAGGGAAATTACATCTGTGATAGTTATACTTTAAAAAAGACAACTGTGTCTTGCCACAGTAACTGAGATGTTTGCCCTTAAGCATGCAATCATTTCTTCAAGCTGCTAGACTAGGAAAGAGTTACTAACTACATTTTCTTAACTGATATGAAAGTGCTTTACCAATGTAATTTACAGGGGAAGAGAATGTCATAGTTAGTGGAGGAGGACATTTTAATCACTTTAATGGTGTTACATGTAGAGTTAATGACTCCCTTTGAGTCTATTTTTAAAAAAAATATCATATACTGTTACTTTTATGTGTGATTATTGTTGTGTTCTTACATTTATTTTCAAATTTAACAAACTTGGATACAGTGGCATGGCATACATACTCACTTTAAAAAGTTATGCTTAAAAACATGGGGAGGATATTCCTTTATTTCTAAATCAGTGTGCAATTTCCAGTGTTTTTGTAGCTGATCTGAGAGGAGACAGGAGAGACAAGTAGCACAAACAGTAACTGGGGGCTTGTGGGAGATACTGTATTTCTACACTAAAAAGTAACAGTTGATTGGATAAAATTTTGGTGGTTTACCTCTGAGTCAAAATTGTTTCCTGAGAGACTGAGTGGTGTTATAAGTTGCCTTCATGTATCAGGCCAGCTCCCTTTTTGCTGAACACATTTTGTGCGGGCATCCAGTCTTTGTGACGCTCTTTGATAGAATCCTCGTGGGTATTGGCGGTATTTGTTGCATCATCTGAGCCTTCACTTCTTTCATTCAGGAAAACAATGTACACGATTGTATACAAAGGAGAAATATGAACACTTCTGCAATCATATGACTAAGATCTTTGTTCAACCGTAATTTAAAAAAACCATGAAGCAAAACTGACCTGCACAAGGAGTCTTCCAAGGAAGTTATGTGTGTGACACAGTGGTATTCAGCAATCTTTTTTCAGTCCAAATCACTGAGTATCTTCATAATGGATGAAAACAATCTTTCAGATAGTGAAAACTTTGATAATTAAAGTTCTCACAGCACTTTATTAGTAAAGGAAGAAATAGAAAAAAAACCCTCTACTTTCAAACAGACTACAATTTTCGCTTGTATTGGGTCAGTTTTACTCAAATAGAATTTTTATTCATTTCCAAGTCTACAAAATAGAGCATCTTCAGTGCTATTCTTGCATTTGGACTAATAACATTCTAGTTTTAGTCACTGGATTTTCTACCCTATATTCCATTCCTTCATTCCTCTTTGTGGAAAATAGGTATATTGAAGGCATTGGGTGTCTCAGTTACTTTTAACTGTGTTCAGTTGGACTAGCAGCATCACCAGATCTTCAGATGTGGATTTATCAGAATTTATAACTTAAATTGTTGACTCTGTTTCAGATTAATTTTAGGCTGTTTCCTTTTATTGCTTTTAATAAAAGGATATCGTGATAGCCTTATTCCGGTTCTTAGTTTGAAAATAGTGGAATGTAAGTCACTAAAAGGAGGAGGTGATAGTTGATTCACCTTACACTGTAATTTTTTAGCACTTAAAGTTGCAGATACAGTATTTGATTAGGTTGGAAGTGTGAACAAAAAAACCAGTAAGGTAAACATACTGTATTTGTTTCCCAAAAGGATGTCAGATGTCTGTGCAAGGCAAGCCCTAATTAAAGAAAGGAAATAAAAAAAAATGTGGGGAGAGGCGGTGTAACATACAAGTCTGTCACCTCCAGCTGCATAAAACCTTCAGTTTCTACCTGTGTGTGGTAATAGCCTGACAAAATCCCAGCACTACTGTTGACTTTTTTTGGGTTAAACCTAGAAGCATTGTATTCAAATCTCCAACAGCTTAAGAAGGTCAATGAAGAGATAAAACATTATTGGACTGGTTCAGTCTCTTAAAAAGAGAAATTCTTTTTATCTGAATCGTGTTCCAGTTTCACCATCTGTATGTAAACTTCCACCAGGACCTTTTCTGATTTTGCAAAGAGCAGAGAAGTTCTTCAAGGAATAATGCAATCACGTCGTCTGTTGGGTGACTAATCTGCTTGCACTAGCATTGGTGTGTGTACGGCAGTCAGCACTATAATGCTTCGTTTTGTTTTTATAATTTTTATAATTTTTGGTTATGTAATATGCAACAAAAAAAAATCCTTCAGAAGTCCAGCATCTGTGTGTAAACAGCATAGAAATCATACAAGCTCATAGCTTTCATTAAAAGAGCAACGGCTCTATACTTCTTGTGAAAAAATGTGAGTTAATGTATGTGTGGAAAGTTCTCTTCTGCCAGACTGGTGCTGTGGTAGTAACTATTTGGCAATAATATTTGGTTGACAGTATTTTCTCTAGGAAAAAATAATGTTTTACAAGATTGTTGCTGGACAACCATGTCCTGTTTATCAAAGTATAATTATTTTATCCTTTGAGAATATTTTTCGGTATTTTTGATGCTACATCTGAATCTATAGAATCAGTATTTACTTTGAGCCTCTACTTGTCACGTACAAAAAAAAAATATCGTCCGTTACTTTCAGGAAAAACGGACCCAGGTTATTAGGACTGTGTGATGGTAGAACTTAGGAAACACAGGAGTGACTGACCTACAAGGTTTAGAGGGGTGTTTGAAACAACTGGATAAAGATGTCTGGTGGACTGGGAGCTCTGGCATCCTGAAGTCTGATGCAATTTGCCAGAGCCAATAACGTGTGCTGCTAATTTCAAATTAAGTTATACTGCCAGCAGCCTTCTATTAAGCTTCCACAGACATTATGCTCCATAACCAGCAGGCAGCTCTAATTTTGAAATCATGATGAATATTATGTTTCGTTTTCCAGCAATGACTGTTTTTATAGGGATTGTCAGACATACTTCTCCTGGCTGTCTTGTCCTATAAAGAAAAAAAAGTATTTTTTGTCCATGCCTGAAATAGAATTTTAAAAATTGTAGCACCTCAGTTTGTCATAAATGTTCCGGTATGATTTTTGGATCCTGTCACTTGGCAAGAAAAGTCGAGCAGTTTAAGAGTCTGTGTCTACTTCTGTTACACCATCAGTACCTGAACTTTGCAAGCACCAAGCTATATATATTCTGTTCTTCTACATCAGACAACATGACAGTTTTCTATTACATTTATCTTTTTCTTGTGTATTTAAGAAACTATTTGAAAAAAGATTACTTTCAGAAAGATGTATTTGTTTTTTTAATGATCTCCTGAATATATGCCTCTTGAAAAACTCTTCTGTATGATAGAAAAGTATGATTGCTTGAAACTTGTGAAATATTAGTCTGTACTTCAAGTTTTTGGTAGTGCTAACTATTTACATGGCTGCATTAGCATATACAAGGCAGAAACATTAATAGGGTAACAGTGTGACATGTCAGTTTGACTTGTCTAACTAGGAATGATTTTGGTTTATGAATAAAAAAATACTTTTAAGAATATTTTGAAGTTAGCCATGCAGTGGAAATTCAAATGTTTACATTTCATAAGTGAAACAATTGCTATTGGTCTGAATTTATCATTTTATGCATTCCATTGTTTCATTGCCTTTGATTTTAATTGATAAGATTCCGTGTCCTGGGTAACGTAAGGGAAGTCTGTTTTCATTAAATGGGCTGGACTACGGATTACAATCTGAAGTACTGAAGTCAGTGGGGTAGGAATATGTGTTAAATACTTTACAACAGTAGAATGGGTAACTTGGAAGTAATTATTGAACTATAACTGGTGATTTTTTTTCTCCTTTTGAGGAGAAAACAAAATTGTGAATATTACAATGTATTCAGTTGTATTAGTAAACATGAGATAGCTTTAAGGTTAGAATCTCTCATGGTGTTATATATTCTTTTGCTTTAGTGATCTGATAATATTAATGCTTGATTTCACTTTTTGCCTAATTATGTGCAGCTTTGACAAATGACGTTCTGCTTCTCATTGGCCAGCTCTCCTGACCTTGTCATTGTTACTGATGGGTACATGTCAGTGCTTCAGGCAAAATAAGCAGTTGTGCATTTTAGGGATTTTTATGGTTTTGCTACTTACTCTTTTCTTCTTCCTAGAGCAGTAAAAACTGGAGGGCAGCAGTCGACTTGTGTGGGCGGCTTCTAACTGCACATGGTCAAGGCTACAAAAAAAGTGGCTTACCGACTAACCATACAACAGATTCTTTACAAGTATGTTTAAAAATACACCTCTGTTACTTTTTTTTTCCAACAATATTCACAATGGCTTTTTTTTACATGATCAAACTTCTTTTCCTAACGGTTACCTAAAAACTGAGCTTATTTTAAAGCATTGTAGCAAATCACTTTTTCTTTTTTGCTTATTTAAAGTAGATCTTCAATTAAAACCAAATTACTTCTTTAAATAAAATTCTGTCTTGCTTGTATATTTTTTAATGTTATCACACTAGAAAAAATATGGTTTTCATGGACACTATCTAGATTGAAATCTTACTACACAGTTCACAAATGTTCAGATATCTTTTGTGGTGCTAAGAAAATAAGAACCCGAATTAATAAAGGTGTTTTACTGAACAAAATATGACCAGGTGACAATGCATGGTTCTGACTCTAGTAACTATAAAGCTCATGGAATTTCACCAAAATCCTAAGAGATGTTAAGAATTGCGTAAAATTGGAAAAGTAGTTAAAAATCAGATTGATAATTCTTGCAGGCTAACAATTTAAAGAGAGATGTTCTAATTTTGAAACAGACCAGTTTTTAAACTTCATCTTCAGAGTCACAAGACCTTTACAAACAATTAAAACATCAGTCCTCTGTGTTTCGTATTTATGATCTTATGAAAAGTATTCAGTGAAAGAGCGTGTAAATATGAGCCCTGACTCTGTTCGGTAAGTAACATAGAAACTCTTCAGTCAACTTTATCAGAAAAGCTTAGAAAGTTGAAACTAAATTTGAATGTAGCTTGTGATTGAAGCTAATAACAGACATTGTCTTTTCCTTTTTTTTACTATGTTTTAATTTTTAGCTGTGGTTTGTGAGACTGGCGCTGCTAGTGAAACTCAACCTATTCCAAAATGCAGAAATGGAATTCGAACCATTTGGAAATTTAGACCAGCCTGATCTTTATTACGAATATTACCCTCATGTATACCCCGGACGAAAAGGTAAGATACTTGATTTATAAAATTTATTTTTTTATTTTTTTTTTAACTAGTCATCATAAGGTGATGGATTGAGATGGGCTGTGTGGTGCAGTCAACACGCTGGAGGGAAGGGATGCCATCCAGAGGGAACTTGACAGGCTTGAGAGGTGGGCCAGGGCGAACTGCCTGAAGTTCCAAAAGGCCAAGTGTAAGGTCCTGCACCTGGGCCAGGGCAATCCCAACCACAAACACAGACTGAGCGATAAGTAAACTGAGAGCAGCCCTGCTTGGAGGTGCTGGTGGATGAAAAAGTGAATACAAGCCATCAGTGTGCACTCGCAGCCCAGAAGGCCAGTCGCATCCTGGGCTGCATCAAGAGAAGCACGGCCAGCAGGTCAAGGTGGAGTGATTCTGCCCCTCTGCTCTGTTCTTGTGAGACCCCCGCTTGCTGTGCTGTGTTCAGCTCTGGGACCCCCAACATAGGAAGGACATGGATCTGTTGAAGCATGTCCATAAGAGGGTCACAAAGACGATCAAGGGCTGGAGCACCTCCCATGTGGAGGATGGGCTGAGAGAGTTGAGTTTGTTCAGCCTGCAGAAGAGAAGCCTCCAGAAAGACCTTAGAGAGGCCTTCCAGTACTTAAAGGGAGCCTACGGGAAAGAAGGGCAGAGACTCTTTATCAGGGAGTATAGGGATAAAATGAGGGATAATGGTTTCAAACTGAAAGAGGTTAGATTAGATTAGATACTCTTTTCTATGATCATGAGCAGTGAGACACTGGAACAGGTTGTCCAGGCTAGTGGTGGATGCCTCCTCCCGGAAAGTGTTCAAGGCCAGATTGGATGGGGCTTTGAGCAACCTCATCTAGTGGAGGGGAGGTTGGAACTAGATCGTCTTTAAAGTTCCTTCCAGCCCAAACTGTTCTATGATTCTATGCAAACTTTTCCATCACAATATATGTGGGTAATTTTGCCTTGAATATATTCAATCCACTGAGAAGCAGCTGGGTTGGGATTTTTGAAGATTTAGAGAAATTGTGATCATCAGGTTGGACGGCTCTTTTGGACCTGGTTACATTTTGGCAGCTCCATGATGCACTGCTGCATAGGAAAAGTAATTTTCTCTGCGCTTATATGTATGTTTCCACATCTTTTTCAGTATTAAAATTATTTTGCCTAAGAAAAGAATCCTTGCAAAGTCATGCAAGGATCATGAAATGCTATGAGACATTTCAGTCCTAGTGCCACAGAGCATACAGGTGCCAACAGTTCTGGATGGCCTGGCCAGCTGTTACAGGCACCCATCCTGTGACTGGACTTTGGATCCAAACAGTCTTTGCAGTAACCACTTAACCTCAGCAACTATTTAATGCAAGTTATGAGGGTGTCTGTGGTAAAAAGGTGAGCATAAGGAAAATACTGCATTTCATGATTATATATGTCAGTTGAACATACCAACCAGGACCATAATCTGATTATCTCTAAAGAAAATAAGCTCAAGGTTGGATGGACCTGGCCTGCTGCTTATAGACATCTCATATAAATACAATGTGATTAAGATGTAAGAACAGCAATCAAACCTGCCTTAGATAATTTTGAGGAGGGAAGAAAAAGAGAGAGATTCCCTTTGCAGGGATGTAGGAGAGAACAAGCAATTCTCTTCTGGCTAGCATTAAACTACACAGTCCTGGATTATGAATAAAGAAATGTAGTATACATGCATCATTAACCAGCTAATTTAAATAATAAAATAGATACAAATCATTCCTATATTTTGGTTGAAATCCACAATCCACTGCTGTTTTGTAATTTTGCATATCATTTTGTGGTGTAACAAGCATAAAAGGAAGAGTTTTGTTTCAACATTTTAATTTTGAGTCATGGTATATAAATGGAGTAAGCAGTTAAAAATCAATTTTAAGCAATGGGAATATAGATATAAATAATGTACACATTAATTGTAATACATAAATATTTTGCATAGTTTCTTTCTATTCAAAATACAATAAGAAATGTAATAAATTAGGAAGATTTCTGTGTGTTCTCTGCTTGAAGTAAGGAAAGTTTATATACCTGAACTCCTTACAGCCATGAGGATAATCACTCACCCATAAGTCTCTGAGAAATATACCACAAAGAATTTAAATTCCAAGTAAATGTATGAAAAGTGGAAGATGCGTTAGCATTAATTTAACTTAACTTGGCAACATGGTCCTCTTAATTTTCCTCAGAAGCTGTCCCAAGTTTTTCCCTTTCAGCAACACTACTGATCTCTGTTTTGTCCTGAGATTTTGGATGATTTTTGTAGCCACGGTGTGAGTGGATCCCATTGCTCTTATCTTCATCATGGCTTTAAGCTCTAATCTTTCTGAAATCTTCTTTTCCTGGTTTCTGTGATCTCTTTCTTTTGGTCATCTCCATTGCCTGTAGGTGTGCATCATCTGGTGGGGGTGGAATTTTCTGGAAACCTTGTGTCACTCAGCCAGTGAAATTAGTTAAGTCACCCTTTGATCATTCTTGCTTGATAAGGGGCAGAGAGCAAACCATTCTCATTTTGTACTAAAATCTTAAATTTATTCAGTTACAGATTTATTTCTTCTAAATTCTTCTGTGGAGCGAAAAGTCTGATTTTATATGTAATTTTTTTGTTTTGTCGTAGGTAGGTACTTAGGTCAGGAACTACATTCCAGATTGCTTTCTGCACATCTCCATTGTACTAGGTGGGGTATGTAAGATTTCAGGGATTATTTTATAAAGGGTTTCATCTTTGTATTTACTCAGTCTGACCCACTTCTACTAATATCATTTGTTTCTGTATTCCTCGTGACACTTCATAAACTCTCTCTCATACGATAGATCAGATGACCTGAGGTGTTCTTTCCATTGGTAATGCCTGTGTGTTTCTGAAAGAGTGAGAGCCAACAGTTAAAATGGAACATTAAAATGCTCTTTCATTCTTGAAGGAAATAATCTGGTCTTGTTTCTGGTTAATGGACCAGTAAGTTACAGAAAAGTTAACACTACCAAAATCAATGTTCTAGAGCTTCAATAATGGAGAATAATTCTTCTTGAATTATGAAGGAAAAAGAAAAAAAAAGTGTGCACAACTAAAAATAAGAATTTCAATCCCTCAACCAGGGGTTTATATGTATAGGAGTGAGTGTTTTCTTTCATTTCCCCTTTTTACTCTCCTTGTGATACAGCATCATCTGTATTACTCTAACATGAAATCAGTCTTCTGTTGTCTGGTGGAAAGCGCCTAAGTAAGGAACATATCGTTAAATATTTAGTTATATGTGGTCTAGAAACTGATTTTGTAAGGTACACCTTCCCATGAACTCTGTTACTAATTTCTAGGACAAGGGTTTTTTTAAAGTGTGGCTGTGTTCTGAGCATAGAGGTACACTAGTGTGTGCTGCAATAGGCTGCCACTTTCAGATGGATAGTGATAGTTTAAATATATGTTTAAATATGTATTTAAATATATATTTAAATATTTATTTATTTCTCTCAAATTAGTGTGAGTCCAGGCATCACAACTATAGTTTTAGCATATTTCACTAAGTCTGTATTACTTTCATGACTTTACTAATACCCACTGTAGTTACAAGTTTTTGCAGAAATATGTTAAAAAATTAATACAAAAAGTAGTTGACTGTGTTAGATTTCATTTTTTCTGTGCCCTTATTTGCACAAGCAGTGCCCTTAATTTGTTTTTCTTTATTAGATTTTGAAATTCGAATCCCCCTAAAGGAATCCCATCATGCATGGTCTACAACAGTTACTCAAACTCGTGTTTGTTGTAAACAAGTTTTCGGTGCTGGGTTAAATGTAATAAATTATTATTATTACATGTAGTAAGCTTGTAAAAGAGAAAAAAAAAAAGTAATAAGAAACCCATCATTGTGTCTGTTGATGCGGAGACATTGTGCATCCTGTGGATACATTTATCTAGAATTTTTCTCTAATACTCTCAGAAGGCATTTTACAGACACCTGGACTGTGAGAACCACAGAGGAGCACGTACGGCCCCGAGCTCTGCCTGCTCCTCCACACTTGGTCCTGCTTCTGAATGTCAGCCTGTGCCATAAGGAAGGGCAGGGGTGCGCTGGGAGATTGTTTCCCATACGCTTTCACAGGAAACCTGAACTCCCTTTTTGAGTTTTCCATCTTCTCTTCTCTCCTACTTGTCTATGCTAGTGGGAGGCAGCTTTGCTGAAGCCTCTTTTCTTTGTTCCTCAGCACGGTTTTGGATGATGCTGTAAAGGAAATGCCCTTTGTTTTTTCCATCACCATCAACTCTTAGTTAGTGAGAGATCTGCAGCAGAATGGGAAGTGGTGTAGGGAGAAAAGTAGTTGTGGTTGGAGACGAGACGAAAATGCAGGCTCAAGAAATTGTGTAGGGTGCTCCTTTCTAGTAATAAATTTTGTGGGAAAAGACTCTAGTCATTGTCACAGGCTGTACTGGGTTTTTCATATGTTGCCACAAATACCGCTAGGCCTAAACTCTGAACTTACACTCCCGTGTCAGACTGCTTCAGTCTTGGCAGTTGCTTGGAAGAGTTCTTCTTTCCAGCTCATATTGACAGTAAAAAACATTAAAGCCTCTAGAGGAACTGGTTTGCCAATTATTTGATTTACAATACTGCATACATCTCTATTGTCTCTTTAAATTCTCTGTCTTCTGTTGCTTCAGAGCTATTTTCTATCTCTGAAATCAGCTAACATGACTTGAACAAATACCACTTAAATGCTGTGATTCCGTATAATTTTAAGGGCGTAAAGTGCTGCTGAAGTATTTAATTGTGCTTACTTTCATATGGCTACATATTTTTTTATATAGTATTTCTTAAAAATGAGCAAGTAACTAATTTCTGAATTCTGCCTTATTACAGTTACCAGTAGGTAAGATTTACAGTGATTTCTTTGTGGTAGGGCAATTGTTACAGGGTTTTTCTGCATTCTGTTTTCCTTGCTTCAGTGCAAACAACTACAGATTACTGAAAAAGTATTTTTGAAAC